GCGTGGATGTGTGTGCTTAACAGGGGTCATGGTGGGTACAGCTCTGACATAAGTGCGCGTGGACGCGTGTGCTTAACAATGGTCATGGTGGATACAGCTCTGACACGAGTGCGTTGACGTGTGTGCTTAACAAGGGTCAAGGCGGATATAGCTCTGACAGCAGTGCGCGTGGACGTGTGTGCTTAACAGTGGTCATGGTGGGCACAGCTCTGACATGAAGCACTCATTAAAATCGGCGAACCTTCCGCGGCGGCGAACGGCCCGATTGGGAACAACACCACCACCACCACCACCACCCCACCACCACCACCACCACCACCACCACCACCACCACCACCACCACCACCACCACCACCACCACCGACACCGACACCAACACCAACACCAACACCAACACCAACAACATCAATATCAACATCAACATCAACATCAACAACAGCCACATCAACATCAACAACAGCCACATCAACAGCAACAGCAACAGCAGCAACAGCAGCAACAGCAGCAACACCAGCAACAACAGCAACAACAAGAAGAACAAGAAGAGGAAGAACAAGAAAAAACACAACCAACAACATCAGCAACCGCAACCGCAACCACAACCACAACAACAACCCCAAACAACAACATCAGCAGCGACTGCAACCGCAAACGCAGCCACAACCGCAACAGCAACAACAACAGCAGCAGCACCACAACAACAACACAATGAACCAAACAAACCAAACCAAACCAACCCATATAAACAAACAAACAAACAGGAACCAACAAAGACAGGTGTTGTAACAAGTGGGGGTGGAGACGGGCGACGATAGCAGCCTTGTTGCTTGCACAGGTCAAGTTTGTTCATTGCGCCAGGAGTCTTCGAATCTCTGAATCGGCCAAGCGGGCCAAGCAAGTCGCCCCAAAAGCGCCGGCCAACAGGGGCTACCGAGTAGTTGGATAGGAGCAGGTGGCAACCATGCGAAACTCAGATGTCATGGCCGTGCATGTCGGCCTGGCCAGTGGCAACCTCCGAGCCTTCAAACCATATTGCGCGTGGCGAAGCCGGATTTACTGCGCTGGCCGCCCGGCAAGCGAAAAGCTATCGGGGGAATTCGACAATGGCCGAATCGCAGTTTGTAGCTCGTCAGGGCTACACGGGCTGAAAGCCAAAGGCAGCCAGGTTTCGAGCATACGGCACGCAACCACTTTCGATGCAAAACCAGCTAAACTTGAATGTGTTGAGCAGTGTAACATCCAGATTGTTCCATTGCGAAGGGGAGTTCCAGCAAGTTTCAAGCAAATTATAGTGTGCCTGTTTTGGGAAGTGCCCCTGTGCCAGGTACCCATCTATGTCAACAATCTCAGGCGAGTCGGAAAAACAGTTGCCAACGCATGCCAGAATCACGGCATAGGCGGGGGCCTCCTTGCCAAAAGGCATGCTACCAATGAGTGCTAAGTGAGTGTCGTGCTTAACGGGGCAGGGTGCTTAGTAAGTGGTTAGTAAGCCAAAGTTTAAACCCGCTTTCCAGGCCGATAAGTCTTCTAAGTGGGCTAAAACCAGGCTTACTCAGCACAGACAACTACCCTGCCCCTTTGCCTTCAATTGACGGAAAGATACCTGACTGTTCCTCCCTATTCTGCGCGATCGATCTGCGGATCTGTGCATGCCAGAAAGAATCTACAACCATGAAGAACAGCTAAAGTCCCTTGCTTTCTGCCCTGCAAGCCGCAAGGATAAGTGTTGATGAAAGAAACACATACACACATTACAAAGGCTGCACGCTCTCCAGAAACGAGCAGGAGTTCTATTAAACTAATATAGTCTCAAGTTACACACATTTTTGTACATATATATGCTTCTCAATTCACTATTGAAACATTCTATATAAATATATGTATATGTACCTTTATTCCTATTCTCAACAGCCACTAAAAATAGACAATGAAATCAACATCTGAAAACGTCTCCCAGCACCTTCTCCAAAATTTGTCAGTCCGAACTCTCTGCATTGTCACACAAAGTCGAGGAAAGAATGACCGTTTCCAGGAGCTCCAGCTGTTTCCAGTTTTGTTTGAAGCAAGCCTGGAAGCGGGCGGCCCCCAGCCCCCGCTTGGTCACATCCCCCCACAAACCAGTCAAATCCTTCAAGCTGGTCCACTCCAGTCAAATTCGTAGAAACCGGTCAAACCTCAAATCCCCTCTAAAAACTGGTCCAACTCCGGTCAAATCCCCCTAGAAACTGGCTGGATTTTTTGAAATTTGTACCTGCTTGGCCCAAGCCCACTGCCATTCTGTTGCTCTCTGCAGCTCTCTGGCCCTTGAAGTGATGTGGAAACGCACGGACATGCGCCCCCTCTACCTTCGAAACTGGGTCACGCATTCGGCGCCGACTCACTCACTCCAACAAACACAACACTTCAAGGCAAACAAAATCACAGTCATATACCTCAAAGCCAGGCAAAAGCGGACTGGCCGAGGGTTTGCAACGACAAACATCACCCATTAACTCCCAAACAATTTGGGGCGTCTCAATATTTTCAATCGATACTTTGTCATTTCCCAATCTTCCTCACACCCCTGTTATCCATCATATCGTCATAAATCTCAAAACCACCCCAAACCAATCCCAACACAGCCTTAAACGTTACTCCAGAACTACCATACGTAGAACTTTTAGGGCTATCTCTGCAAAGTGCCATAGTCCCAAAGCAGCCTTTTGCAGCAAAGGTTGCAAGGCAAAACGGACCTAGAAACAAAAGGTTGACCTTTTCAGACTTTGGGGCCGTTACTAAAAGTGGACCAAAATGGGAAAACCCAAAGTCAAAAGGCTGGCATTGGGCAAGTGAGATCATCCGAACACTTACACATTGGTGCTGAGTCAGTTGATTCCCTGTTCAAAACTGAACTGCTATATCACAACAATGCAGACATCAAAACAACCAAGTTCGTGCGATCAATGCCAATGATAGGTATATAACATAAGTCTCTACACTCATATATATATATATACAATCTGTATTATATATATATATGTACACACATGTATGAACACACCATCAACCCACATAAGAGCCACACGTCTTCACTAAGAAATTTGGTTTGCCTGGCAGTTCAAATGCCCAGTCTGCGCAACAAGACATACTGTACTTCTCGTACTATCTTTTTGTCATGCCCGTCTCTAACTTTCCTTCTGGAATGCATGTCCGCGATACTTGTTTCATGCTCTGTACAGACATTGTCGTAGAATTTCATGTGGTACGCCCCACTTTCACTTTCTGTCTATGCGCTTGTCGCGATATGCCGGCATTCTTGGCATCAACCGACCAGCTGTCATTTTGGCGGACATGCTTGGGCGCACATGCGGGGGCGGGCGGTGGGGCGGATGGGGGGGGGGGGAGGCGTGCTGTTGGGAAGTTTACCTCCTGCTTGTTGCAGGAACCAGCAGGATTTAGGAACAGCTATGACAAACAGAAACAACATATGGAAAAGAATGGTTTTTCTTGAGTTCTTTGATGATCTCAATGGGCAAAACCACGTTGCTAGGACAAGCGTGCAGGCTGCTTTCATGTAAGCCTTTTGGACAAACATGGGCAATTAACACATCACAAAAACAAACAACTCAGCAGAGCGAAGGGTTGCTGGGTTTTTAGGTCAATTGAGTGTTGCTTTAGGGTGGGTTGAGGATCGGTTTTCGGGCGGATACAGGATTGGTTGAGTGCTCATTCGAAGACTTTCGGGTGAGATCAGGATAGGGTGAATGTCGACCTGAAGTCATATTATTTCACTGTGAGTTCAGGGCTCATTTGAGGTTGGGTTGTAGGTTGACTGAGGGATGTAGACCGAGTTAACATCAGTCGTGTGGTGTTTGGGTTGTCTTCGCGGGGAAAAGTAGAGCGGGATGGTGGTTGAATTAGGATGGTTCATGGGCTGAGGGTAGGCAAAGGAGCGAGCAACCACGGTGTTGGCGTTTCTTTTTCCATCTTTTGAACATGTAAATAAGATATCATTTAGGCCAACACTATCCACCCTCAATCGAGCGCTTATCACCCCCATATCCTACATCCAACTGATCCTAACATACCGCGTCTAAGCCATACGCACACCTCGCACTTCCTTGCGCCAGTAGACCCCCTCAATCTCTCTATCCACCTGGACTTGCAAGAGTGCTGGACACCTTGGATGCATGAGTGCAATGCTAAGACCCTTTAAAGCGAGACGCATTTCAGTGGCTGGAAAGGTTTGGCCTACGCGCCCTATGACTTTCTCCCGCGCTTTGCGCGACATAGCCTTGAACTTCTTCAACTCTCCCTGTGTGTGGAAGCTTGCATTTCAGGACCCTCGTACGCGGAAGCCTCGCTTCAAATCGGCCCTTGCACGATGGTGTGCAGTCTAATCTAGGCACGCGCAGCTGCCCGCAGCTAGCTTTTGCAACTGGAACCAGCCAGTAGCAAACAGCTGTCAGGTTCTCTCCGCACAAATCAGTTACTAAAAGCTCGGCCATTAGTGAGAAATACCACTTTTGAAACATGCGATGCAGCTGCACGAACATGAAGCGGACAAAGGGGAGCAATCTGGAAGCGCAATACGCCCCTGAAGCATGCAGACACGGATCTGGATACACAGCGTACAAACATTGACGCTGCCACGCCCGCAAACATTCAATCCTACTTCGGTATGGATACCGACCGCGCAAAGTGTTATACATTGGATGCTGAGTTCATACGCAGACATCTCTCATTTTACGGGCAGCAACAAAACATCTGAGCATCAAATAATGTTATATACATAATATATGTATATCTATACACTATAAATTTGTACATACGGGGCTGTCTTTTGTTGAGGGGACCCTGGTGGTCTGATGGGAAACCGATAGGAAAACACACATTCTTTTCTCACCCGTAAGCCTGTCTGTGGCTCAAAGAATAGTGCCCAAAAAGGCACCTTGGTATAGGAACGCAAAGACTAAAACCCGCGTAACCCGAGCAGCTTAATTTCAATTACGTACGCATTTTTCAATCGATATCTGCTCGACATCCTCAATGTGGATGTAACGCCACCTGCGCGGCTTGGCCCAGTCTGACAGTACAAGTCTAAAGGCTTGCCCAAAAATCCTGACTTGGTGGTTAGGATTCGTGGCTTGGGGGTTTGAACCCCCGCTTATTGTAGTAGGCAGCTGGGAAACTACCCCCTAGCCACCCAACCACCACCTCACACACACACACACGACAAGGTGACGCTGGCAAAGAGCCTAGAAGTAGAGCAACAACAGAAGAGACTCGTCAGACTGCACTTCGGGCAGGTAAGGCTCAAACAAGTCAGATCCCGGTGTCTCTCCGGGTAGATGTTGAGGGTCCCAAACTGGCTCCTATCATGTGCGCCCTGATCATAACTCCTTGTTGTCCTTTGTTCGTTTCATCTTGCGTCGACCCCTGCCATCTAGGCACGAATGGCAGGGGGGAAGCGTATATCATCCAAAGCCTTGATGGCGCAAAAGATGAGGACGTTCAATGCCATTGCAGAGACTATGCCGTCTCGTAGTGGTGAAACCATTTCCCCATTCAAGATTTCCACAGTCCCTTCCAAGTAGGGTGCATCTTTGTTTTTCCTTTCTTGGGGGGGAGGGTGGAGCGTGCTCTTCTGCGTTTTGTGTTGGAAATCGCCAGGGGGGCAGCACCAGAAAGCCGCGGCCTCCAACGCGCCGCCCACGGCGAGGTCGCTGGCAGTGCTGCCGCCGTAGTCCTTGCAACTGGCGAGCACCCGGCAGCTCTCGTGGCCCTCAGCACGATACGTTCGGTTGCACGTTGGGTACAGCCCAGGCGCAAAAAATATGCAAACATCTTGTATTAGAGAGATTTCTTCATGGCGGGGTGGGGCGTTGAAAGCCCTGAAATGTAACGATTTCAACCCCACATGTTCGCGCTCTTGCATTATATCTAGTTCTCTACATAGATATATGTTATATATGTGTATATATATACATATATATATATATTGTTTTAATTGGTGGTTTGAGGGATTTGAAGTCCCGCTTTTGTAAAGGGCAGATGGGAAGCCGCCAATCCAAACCTCCAAACCACCAACTAGGGGGAGGGCGGTTACGGTTACGTTTGTAAACATAATATATATATATATATATATATATATATATACATATACCTATATGTATACAAATATATATATATATATATGGCTTATATATATATACATATACATATATATATACATATGATCAGCCCCCTAAGTCCCATTTAGCACCACACAGCGGTTTTGTTGAATATGCGGAATATGCGACAATAGAGCCCAGTAGTCGTAAAATCAACAACCACAAACCCTGGCATAGCCAGGTGCTGAGCGCCGAGCCATCAGCAATTTGCACACGTCACGATGACCTGCCTGAGGGCTTCTTGGAGCTCGTGCCATGACTTTCTTGCGGTCGGAGTGTAGCGGGGGGTGGGGTGGGTGGGGGTGGAGAATGATAACGCCCGTCACAGCGTAACAGCGACGGCCCAATTGGCAAAGAAGACACACGTGACTGTTTGGAATGGCCTGAACGGCATTTCATGAAGATTGCGCGATGCAAAAGCGGCAAGCACAAACATGTTTGCACTCGTGGATTTTGAGGGTTCCGCCACATGGTCTACAAGCGTACAAAACAAACAATTTTGTGCTTGCCACCAGCGCTTTTGCAGCGCTCAAACAATGCCACGCCCATGGTGAACTAGCATGGTTTTCCCGGGCATTTATAGCTGTGCCATGTTTTTAGAGGACTCCCGTGGCAGAAGCCAATATAGTTGGTATATTTTTGTTTTCCATGGGAATTCGCAGCACTTCGGTCGTGAAATTGCCTACCCAGCTGCCCCTTTGTCTGCGCTGCTTTGATCCAGTTGGAATGAACAGGATCCATCTGATGAAAACCGCCTGCAATGCAATTGCATCCTTGCAATCCTGCGACTTCAAGTTGCGCTAGGGCCTCAAATCAAATTGGTCGTCTCGCAAAAGGGTGCTTGGTCAAACGCCTCAAAAAGGGTGTCTCTTTCTTTAGGGCGCCCCAAAATGGAGGTTTTGCTTTTGGCTCTGTTTAAAACCTCCAACAAAGTGAACCACGCCCAAAAGTGTTCAGTGTTCCTTGGCCCTCTCTTTGGACCACTGGGCTGCGAGTCCCAGCCTCTGCAGCAGCATGCAAAGCATTGCGGCCCACACAGTCCTGCGACCCGACATCGACGAAGGAAGCAAAAGACCCGTCCAGCTTCCCTTGTTTGTGTTTCTCGCTAACTTGCAGGGGCAAACACAATCAGAAGGGGAGCTCTGAAAAAGGGACATGGAGCAACATACTCAAACGAAAAAGGGACCTCTAAAGAGTATTTAGTCTGAGAAATATGGACCACATCAGGCGCCGCCGTTGCAGTTGGGTGTTCAAAGTGGCAACTTGTTAATGATCCCTCCGTTAAGCTATGCTCAAACTCTCCCCATCCTGAGCCGTCACTGTCTTGAAGCGAGGATGAGTCAGCAGCACGTGACACACCTGGCGATCCAAGGTCCAAGTAGTAGTAAGTTGTGACTCAGTGCCCCAATGCAAACGAAACCCTTGGTGGTTGGCTTTGTGCCCAGTCGTTCGTGGCGAAACTGGGGCAGTCAATAGATGAACAGCGAGACTGCCACTTGCGATTCTGAAACAAGGCACCGCCACGCGAGAGAGTGAGAGAGCCCGCGGTCATCTGAGGACCTAAGGCGTGTTCTGAAGGAACAAGGACGTGCTTCCTACTTGCTTGTCTGAGCCATGGTCAAACATGCTGATGTAGGGCCGGTCACCGTGCTCTGCACAGAAACTGCTCATGAACAAAGGTTGGTGACTGCCCCCGCTCTTTTGGATGGGCAGAGAATTTGGTGGCCTGCCAAACACATGGGCCAGGGAAGGGGAACGGGGAGGAGAGGGGTCAGGGAAAGCAAGGGAGAGAAAGGCGGCACGAAATTGTAACCTGCAGCAAAAACGCACATGGGTTATCCCAAAACTATGGCACCCCTAAAAAGGTTGGTTTCCTTTTGGTTGCGTATGAAAACAAAACAACAGAGTCAAAGTTAATCATCCCGCCTCCTCGAATCCATGTGCTGCAGCAAGATGCAGAGCAGTCCAGCCTGAAGTGGAGGGAGCGGATGGCATGTCATCATCAAAGGAAGTTTAGAAGGAACTTCCGTAGTACAGAAACTAATTGAAAGGCAGCTTGCGCAGGTAGATAGAGCTTCAGAAGATTGGGTAGCGCGCGCGAAAAGCTAGCTCTGGCAGATAGCTTTAGAAGATCAGATAGCGCACGCAAAAAGAAGCGTATGCGAGAAAACATGCGTGGGCGTGTGGCGGGGGAATAGAAACCGCGAAAACAAGTGACCCTCTGCGGGTTTTGGCGGGCCCACGTCGATGTCAACCAGCTCTGTCTCGACGCCTATCTGGCGCAGGTTCGGCGTGGGTGCGGCGCGGGTTCGGCGCTTGGCCCACTCATGGCAACGCGGGGGTTTCACAAGGTTTGGAATGCGTGGCGGGCGCAGCACTTTCATACAGATTTCGTGGCAGGCGCAGCACTTTCGCATGGTCGAGTACAGATTTTGTGGCAGGCGCAGCACTGCGGCGAAGCCAGGTTCATATCTCATGGCAGGCGCAGCGCTTTGGCAAGGTAAGGTGCAGATTCAGATTTCGTGGCAGGAGCCGCACTTTGGCAAGGCCAGGTACAGATTTCGTGGCAGAGGTCGAGACAGAAAGAAACAAGAAAGAGAGAGAGAGAGAGAGAGAGAGAGAAAGAGAAAGAGATACAAAGTGAGAGAAGAGACAAGAAAGATAAATGGAAAGAGAGAATTCAAGAAAAAGAGAAGGAGAAAGAGAGAATGAAAGAGAAAGACTATTCGAAAAACAAAGCTGGATAAATGAGAAAAAAGACAAAGAAAGGAGAAAGAGAAAGACAAGATACAGAGAAAGAAAAGAAACACAAAGAGGAAAAGACAGAGAAAGAGAAAAGAAAGAGAAAGCTGAGAAAGCGAAAGAGGACGATCATGAAAAGAGAAAGTGCAAGAAAGATGACGAGAACAGAAAAGAAACAGAAAGAGAAAGTGGCACCGAAGAAAGAGAAAAAGAGAAAGGCAAGAGAAAGAGAACGAGAAAGAGAGGGAACAAGAAAAGAAAGAGAAAGAAAAGAGAAAAGAAGGAGGGAGAGAGAAAGAGAGAAGAGAAAAGACAGAGAAAGAGAACGGGAAAAGATAAGAGAAAACATAGGAAAGAGGGCGGGACACCTGGCATGCAAAACCAACGAAGCCTTGCTCTATATGTTCTTACCTGCTTAGACACTTCCGACCACTGGCTTCGCCGGCATGTGAACAAGTAGACCTGCCAAGTCTCGGAATAAAATGGTACAGAACATCAACGGCTGCTCCGCATCTCGCCGTGGCCCTGGTCTTTAAATCTCTGTTTGCCGTCTTGAACAGCAAGCCACAGTCAATATTCATAGTTCACTACACTGACTTTTTCCTCATTTGGTGAGTAAGCTGTATTTTCCCATGCTAACAAGAAGTTTAGATGGGACTCCTGTGGCATGTTAGCCTGATCGCCACACCTGGTCGGCGCGCGTTTGGAGCGATCACGGAGCGTGCTCTCGCGTCATGAGTTTGCGATGCAGGGGCAGCGTTTTCGCAAGGCTATGGCAGGCGCGGCACTTTCACAAGGTGGTGTATATTCCGTGGCAGGCGCAGCGCTTTCGCAAATTTAGGTGCAGATTTCGTGGCAGGCGCAGCACTTTCGCAAGGTCGAGTGTAGACTTGGTGGCAGGCGCAGCAATTTCGCAAGGTCAAGTACAGATTCTTAGCTAGATAGCTGAGATAGATAGATATGAGATAGATTGCGACATCGATGGATAGCGTGGATAAAGATAGATAGGTAGACAAGATAGACTGGGGGGTTAAGGTAAGTAGATAAATCGATTAGACAAGTAGATAAATAGGTATGTAAATGGTTGGAGAGAAAGGGAGAGAGAGCTTTGGGTAGATAAGTGAATAGATGGAGTGAAAATAAGGGCATACATAGATCGATGCATGGAAGCCAGGCAAGTGGATAGATAAACAATACATAAATACTTGGGTAGAGAAACCGAGAGAGAGAGAGAGGGACGAGCAAGATAGATAGATGGATGGATGGATGGATAGGTAGATAAACAGATTCGATAGATAGATAGATAGATAGATAGATAGATAGATAGATAGATAGATTAGATACATAGATAGATAGACAGACGAACAGACAGACAGATAGATCAATAGATATACAGAAAAAACACCGATCGATAGATAGATGGATGGATGGATGGATAGATAGATAGATAGATACAAGCGATAAATACATAGATAGATGGATGGATAGATAGACAGAACAGAATAGAATAGAATAGAATAGAATAGAAAAAAAGATAGATAGATAGATAGATAGATAGATAAGATAAGATAAGATAAGATAAGATAAGATTAGACTAGACTAGACTAGACTAGATTAGATAGATAGATAGATAGATAGATAGATAGATAGATAGATAGATAGATAGATAGATATATTAATAGATAGATAAACTAGATAGATACATAGATAGATAGATAGATAGATAGATCGCTCGATAGATAGATTGGATAGATAGATAGATTAGATTAGATTAGATTAGATTAGATTAGATAGATATAAAAATACATTAGATAGATGGATAGATAGATAGATAGATAGATAGATAGATAGATAGATAGATAGATAGATAGATAGATAGATAGATAGATAGATAGATAGATAGATAGATAGATAGATAGATAGATAGATAGATAGATAGATAGATAGATAGATAGATAGATAGATAGATAGATAGATAGATAGATAGATAGATAGATAGATAGATAGATAGATAGATAGATAGATAGATAGATAGATAGATAGATAGATAGATAGATAGATAGATAGATAGATAGATAGATAGATAGATAGATAGATAGATAGATAGATAGATAGATAGATAGATAGATAGATAGATAGATAGATAGATAGATAGATAGATAGATAGATAGATAGATAGATAGATAGATAGATAGATAGATAGATAGATAGATAGATAGATAGATAGATAGATAGATAGATAGATAGATAGATATATATATATTAGATAGATAGATAGAGAGACAGATCCATTAGATAGATATATAGATAGATAGATAGATAGATGGATAGATAGATAGATAGATAGATCAGATAGATCAGATAGATCAGATAGATAGACAGATAGATAGATAGATGGATAGATAGATAGATAGATAGATAGATAGATAGATATATTAGATAGATAGATAGAGAGACAGATCCATTAGATAGATATATATAGATAGATAGATAGATGGATAGATAGATAGATAGATAGATAGATCAGATAGATCAGATAGATCAGATAGATCAGATAGATAGACAGATAGATGGATAGATGGATAGATAGATAGATAGATAGATAGATTGATGATGGATAAGATAGATAGATAGATTAGATAGATAGAAACATAGATTAGATTAGATAGATAGATTAGATAGATAGATAGATAGATGGATGGATAGATAGATAGATAGATAGATAGATAGATAGATCGCTCGATAGATCGCTCGATAGATAGATTAGATAGATAGATAGATCAGATAGATCAGATAGATAGACAGATAGATGGATCGATAGATAGATAGATAGATAGATAGATAGATAGATAGATTGATGATGGATAAGATAGATAGTTAGATTAGATAGATAGATAGACTAGATTAGATTAAAATCGATTAGATTAGATTAGATAGATAGATAGAAACATAGATCAGATTAGATTAGATTAGATTAGATAGATAGATAAATAGATAGGTATATATATATATTAATAGATAGATAAATTAGATAGATACATAGATAGATAGATAGATAGATCGCTAGATAGATTAGATAGACAGATAGATTAGATTAGATTAGATTAGATTAGATTCGATTCGATTAGATTAGATTAATAGATAGATAGATAGATAGATAGATAGATAGATGGATGGATGGATGGATGAATAGATAGATAGATAGATAGATAGATAGATAGATAGATAGATAGATAGATAGATAGATAGATAGATAGATATATAGATAGATACATAGATAGATTGATGGATAGATATATAATTATGGGATAGATGATAGATAGGGTAGAAAAAAGGCAGATAGACAGAGAGACTGACAGACAGACGGACAGACAGATAGATAGAGCGGTAAAGAAGGTGAGATTCAGCGGAGGGGAAACGATCGAAATACAGCCAGAGATTGAGCTAATGAATAGACGTGCGCGCACACGTGCGTCCGCCCGCCCGCCAAGAAAAAAAACAACCGCGCAACGGCGGCTGTTGAACGCGTGACAGAAGATGTCATGGCAACGCTGCTGGACGAGGGCGCCAAGCTCAAGAAAGCCCCAGCGGCGTCTCCGAGCTTCGAAACGTGACGCTGTCTTTGCGCCCGCCGCGTGCTGGCTCAGGCCGCGGTTGCGAACGCAAACGAGCTCCTTGAAGCGAAAGCCGCGAAAGAAACAAGAGCGCTGGATTGAATTGCAGTCGCTTGAAAAAGGGACGCGTGTATGAATGGATGGATAGATCGGCAGAAAGACTAATATAGCTATATAGGGGTAGGAAGAGAAAGACCGGTAGGAAGGAAAGAAGACATCGGTGAAGATAGAGTGACAAGGAAGGAAGGAAGGGAAGGGAAGGGAAGGGAAGGGAAGGGAAGGGAAGGGAAGGGAAGGGAAGGGAAGGGAAGGGAAGGGAAGGGAAGGGAAGGAAGGCAGGCGGCAGGAAGGAAAGAACGAAAGAAAGAAAGAACATAAAAATCACCCGATGACAAAGATGAAGCAGACAGCGGGAAGACAGAGGGAAGAAAGAACGAAAGAAAGAAAGCAATAACGAAATAAAGAAAGAAAGAAAGAAAGAAATAAAGAAAGAAAGAAAGAAAGAAAAACCTAAAGGAAAAAATAATGAAAGAACCAATAAATAAATAAATCAAAAAGGACGCAATAAATAAGTAAAGAAAGAAACAAAGACAGACTGAACAACAGATAAACATAAATAAGGAAATAACAACACAATCAAAGAAATACATAAAGAAAGAAATAACATAATAAAGGAAGAACAACACAAATACATAAACAAGGAAACACATAAATAAGGAAACATGAAACAAAACAATAAGACACGGTGACATAGATAAATATGAAAGAGAAGGAATGACAAAACACGCAAGAAAGAACACCATAAATAAAGAAAGAATGAAGGACACAAGAAAATAAGGGACAGAGACGAACACGAACATAAATAACGGAACAACATCGACGATGGCAAACAGCAAGAAGAGAACATGAAAGAATAACAGAAAGGAACCAACAACTATAGACTATAGTTCTTACACTTTTGACACTTCTGCCCACCGGCTTTGCCGGCTCTAGCGGTAATCACAGACAACTTTAGCGATCTTCCTCTTTACTGCAAGTAGATGCGGCAAATTGGACTGTTGCTCACAGAGCTGTCAGGCTGTCAGGCGTCTTGCAACCTTCTGCTTTGTAACCTACCCCCTTTCCACCAATGGAAGTGGAACATTGGGAGCTTGCCTTTCAACGCCCCGTCTGCTTCCATGGAGGGTAGACTCCAATCCTCATTTGCTCAAGGACCCGGAAATCAAAGGTGATCACCTTTTGGGCCCATGACTACCTTGGTTGCTGTTGAACCCTCGGCAAATGCTTAACTTTTTTGGTTCAATGGAAATCCACTGCTACCAAAAACATCGACTCCAAACATCCAGCCAAATAATGGCGCCATGAAGCTAATGGACCAAGCTGGAAAACCAAAAGGTCAGATTCGGCCAATTCGCCTGCAGCTCATACCTTGACAACTTCCATACATTCTCAGGCAACTCCACAAAGGGATCACCCTTTTAGGGGGTCGCTCTCTTTTGGAGGAACCGCTATGTGTGATTGAGGGAAACATACATGTAGTGCCCAACCCCTTTGGACATCAGGTCACATGCCCGGGTTTCCACCCGCCTCGACCGGTTCTAGCAGCCACCTGGTCAGAAAGCTTGCTGGACTTCGTGTCTGGCAGCTTGCATTCATTGCCTGGAGCTTCTCGAGAGGCCAATTTGAAGGCATCAACAGGTTCATGACGCTTACGATTTGGGAGCTCACTCTATCCCGTCGGTCGCTCCGAAAACCAACCCGAGGGAACCTGCAAACTGCCGAAATGGGAATCCGGTGATAGATGGCACAACTCCCAGGTTGGTTTAGTCATCCTTACACACAAAAAACATGTGCAAAGGTCACTACCTTGGAATGGGATCACTGTCCAAAGGTCAAGATGGCATATGGCTCACCTTTTGGTTCCATGGCGGCTATGTGGCTCCATGCCGTGGCAAGTCGCCTTTTTTTTTTGGGGGGGGAACTGAGCCGGGCCAGTAGCTAAGGGCTTTCAGCAGTTTGGATGAACTGACCATGGCAGCCCCTCCCTGCAACCTCACAAGTCTCCCACTTTTCGTACATGTATTCAGCCAAATCGGCGCAAAAGCAACCGCCTGCAGGAACGTAACACACCTGTCACGGGAATTCATCGTGGAGCCGTTACATGAAGCAGAAAGGCAATATGTTTGCTGCCTGGAAGAAGTAAAAAGCCACTAGTGATAGATTCCGCTTAAAGCCAACAGGGGAAATAATAATAAAAAATCTTAGGCAAATGGAAGCATAGGAGAAGCCCCTTCAAACATGCGAACATTTGGTTTGAGCTCTATGCGTCCAAATGCCTTGCTGCCAATGCATTCCTAACTAGGTTTGCCTGCGTTCGTGCCGCTTTCTAGCCACATTTCATGTATCTGGTCTTTAAATAGGCTTGCCACTGGGTATACAACCGGACTAGGCGGCCTCTTCCCACTGGGTCCGGTGATCGTCAAAACTCCCTATGCCAGTCAAGGAGAACCCCTTACGGCTGTTGTCTAAAACCCCAATGAAGGGTTCATGACCTTGCCTAGCGGCAAGCCGGCAAGTAAGCAGATCCGAAAGGCAGCTCCAATCCCAAGTAAACAGGCCCAACAACCACTTCAATCACAAAGGAAAGGATACTGCATGGAGGGAATAGTGGATGATGAATGTGTATGAAGATAACATGAATGAAGAGACAGAAGATGAATATAGATTATAGAAATCTCCATATTTATTGTTCCATCTTCATAAGTAAGCAGGTCTTTTGTACCAAAGCCGGGCAAAAACCATCGGGATTCGCCTCCGCAAAGCTGGCGCTGGCTAAAAGGATGCGGCACACCGTGGCATAGCCCCCAGAGGCCTCAAATGGTTCACTTCAGCGTGCTGCAAGTGGGTCTGAGCTTCAATTGGACCCTTCAAGGGGGACATCTTATGACATCCTTCATCTTTTTTGGGGGGGTGCTAGAGAATTGCATGTTTGCTGAATTATCATGACAGATTCTGGTTTTGAAGTACTCGACAACCCCAGGATGATGATTCGGCCCGAATAGTTAGCCATTTCAGGCCACCAATCCTTTTGGAGGCTCGCCCCTTGTTCCGGGCGCAGAGGAATGCCTTTCAGCCTCCCAGTGCTTCCTTCTGAAATTCCTGCGTGCTCCAGACCCTGGGTAAGGGACATCAGAAATGACACTGCACGGTACTTTGAAAGGCACCATCTTCCGAACCCAGAAGGCTGTTGTTTCTGAGCAGGAACGCCTTAATTTTGGTTGGTTTTCCAGCGGAAAGCCATCCGTTTTGAAAGGTCCAATCTTTTAACAGCCGAGCCACCCATGGTTTCTTGTTTTGAATTCGTGGTTCCCTGCGTTTTTATATATATTTGGGTGGGGGGGTGGGGGGTCCGGGGGGGTGGGGGGGTGGGGAGGCCAACATGGCCAACACAAAAATCAGACACATGTTCACAAGAGACTAGATGCACTGTTCGGAGTGTAGCCTGAGAACTCCGCGGCCCAGTGCAAAGCAGTCCATCCCTCCTGCGACTTCCAGCCCCCCGAGCGACTTCCGTTTTCTTGAACATCTCTTTTGACATCAGATGTGACTTTTCCGTCATCTGAGTCTTGTCTGAATCACATCGGTAAGATTGGCCCGGATGTAAAAAGGGACGTGAGCATGTTGGATTCTCACCGAGCTCTGGCTGCTTTTGGGAAACCCCGGGGTATAGGCAACACAGCTCCCCAAATTTGGAAATCAACCTGAGTGGGGTTGGACTCCTGAATTCCTGACATGACTTCACCCCAGTCCTATTGGAAAATCAACCCCAGTGGGGTTGGAATCCTGAAACATCCAGAAACCCAATGAGACTCGGAAAAAACATGATCCGGAGAAGCCCCCAAATATGATTGAGAATCCTGAAGTTTGGACCCAACCCGGATCCAGAAATCGATCCACATCACGAATACAGAAATTGGGCTTGGTCGATTTGGGATTCGAATCCATCCCGAACGGCGGACAGATCCCCGGATCGCCACTCACACAAACAAACCTCAACTCGGAGGCGCCTTGTCCTTCGCGCCCTCGCCAATGAAGCGAGGGTGTTCCAACAAGGCCTGCAAACCCATAGAATTGTTCGCTTTTCAAGCAAGACACGCAATGCCGGGTCATATGTAGCGTTTGAACCTTGCACACCAGAAGCAAAAGTACAGCAAACACATACAACTGTAGAGCAAGTGTTGCTCCTTGAACTATTGGTCAAAGGCCAAACTCAAGGGGACGCACGGCAAATGCTTCCTTAGCCCTTGTGTCGCGCCACTTTGATTATTTGCATGAGCATGACCAATCCACAACTTCCCGTCGAACAACACAGCAGGGCAAGAATGTGTTCACTGCTTTTCTTTTAAGGTGTAGATGTGTGTGCGCGCGCACGCATGCCGGCTTCAAACAACACATATACTAAACCAAACGCACTCACACACACACACACACACACACACGCGCACACACACACACATGCTTATTTCCTGAAGCAAGCACACATAGTCAACGTTTGCCAACTGACATTAATTCAAACCTCTTCTTCTAACTTCACAAGATGTTCAACGAAGCTATCTCCGTGAGACAAACCCATATTTACCTGTGCAAACTTGCATCCTGTAAACATATATCAAAGCAAAGTTGAACATCCGGCTCCCAAAGAACCTGATATGGGCCATATGGGCCATGTGCTTTTTCGACCCCTTCCCCCAGAGCGCGGGGAAAGTTGCTTTGGTGTCCCTTTCATGCCGACCAACAAGGGGGTACAGCCAACAAACACACAGCCATGTGGATGGGCGAAATCCAGTTCGCACCACCGTTCAGAACCCCAATTCAATGATTCGATTCGCCCAACGTAAATACCCAAAACAGTTAGGGAACGATTCGTTCTTTTCCTTCTTTTTTCCGCAACATACACCAGGAAAAAGAAACACACATTCTGGCTTCATTCCCGTGGCTTCCTTTCGCGGTGCGAACGCGGCTCCCGCGGCTTTCTCGCGGCCTTCGCGGCTTTCGTGTCCCGGGCCCCGCCTGGCAAGCGCCCGGGTGGCCCTGCATGGCCGCGTGGTGGAGCCCGGTGTGGCCGTAGTCGTCCGCGGCCTTGCTCGCTTCCAGTGGCGGATTCTTTTTCCCACGGGAGAAACACGCACACAACACGAACACGAAAACAACACGAAAAAAAACAATAACAAATAAAGCACCACAAAAACAAAGCAATAAAAAACAAACAAAAGCACGACAATAAAACGAAAACAAACACGAAACAACAGAAAACCAACATACAGCCAGTAGTGATGGATTCCCTTAGAAGCCAACATGGGGAGCATGGAACATATTGTCACACAGATGGAAGTTCTGGAAACCGTTTTTTTTTGGAGGGGGGAGCACTAACGCACTAACGCATTTTTTAATTTTTAAGGTGTCCCAGGGAGGTCCTGGGGCAAGTAATTTGAATTTCGCGGTCTGAAGGGAAAGTAATTTTGAAAAACCGGCCCGCCGGCCGAGTTTTGCGGTGCTTCTTTTTGTGCTCCAATTGGAGTTTTGCGGTGGTCCTTTGTGCTTTTTCTTGTGGGTTCCGTGGTGCTTTGTGCTCCCGCTGGTGGTTTCCCGTGATGAAAAGTAGTTGTTCTGGGGACCAACTTGGTTGAAGGAATCAGAAGGCAATGTCTGTGGCTGCATGTTAAGGGTACCATTTGTGGAGTGGCTTAGGGAAGCGAAAGGGACACCACTCAAACCTCACCCAAAGGCTGGCCAGCTGTTGGTTCGTCAACCAGCGAGCGGGAACTGCTGCAGGATTTGGTCAACCCACAGGGGGAGTTAAATGGCACCCATCATCCCTCCGTTCGTTTCGTGGGGTTCCCTGATTTTGAGGCCCACAACTTCCCCCTCTTCACCGTATACTAGTACCTCGGATTGCCGATTCCACTCGAATCCTCTTGCCTGCCGGGCGCGCGCACCCTTCTTTTTCAGCCCGCGCGTTGAGTCAGCTGATGTCCTAAATGGCTTCCGCATCAAAGACGTTGCAGGTTTGCTGCAAACATCCAGAATCCACCAAATGTCAAAACACGAGCTGGACCTCTTCCTTTTGTTCTTCACCACGAAACAGAGCTCCTGTATCCAGTCTTGCAACATCCACATCCAATGGAGCCCGAATCGGCTCACTCGAAGGGCCTTTGCATCTGGGCCTCCTCCCAGAAGGGATATGCCGCCTCCTGGCAGCGGATCGGAACTGCGAGAAGCTCCGCGGGGAGCCGGCCATGCGCCCACAGTTTACGAGCAATCACAACACATGGGCTGTGCGTTTTCAGATCTACAAGTGATCAAAACTACCAAGAAGCTAAAACGCTAAGGAACCGGATGGACGGGAGGCACCAAGAGATGTGTCTTTCAACATGCGACGACATGGACAACTTGGCTGCGGACCCGTTGCCTGCCTTCACTGGGCACTTGTTCATGGCTATCTGGCTGGAGTGCTTGCGCATGACCTCAATGAAACCGATGACACGTTTAGGCAGTTCCGGCAAAGCCCATGTCGTAGCCTACCCCATATGAAGTCCACTGGATTCGATTCGGCTCCGGTGCGCAATGCGCACGCGCATGCTTTTCGCTGCCAAGATGCCTCCATTGCCTGGCATGGGCTTGCGGACAAGGGCTGTTCGAACTTGAGGACTGAATGGACTCGAATCGCAAAATCCCCCCCCCCCCGGCCCCCTCCACCTATCTGGCTGGTGTTCCCCTGGTTTTATGTACACTGAACATCCACTATGGACACCTGCATGAACCGGGGGCTCGGCCCAGCGCAAACGTGCGAAGACAAACACATGAAGCACCTCATCCAAGACAAAAGGCCACTCTTTTCCACGCCATCCGAGATCGAGCCAGGCTTTTCAGCTCAAAACCAGCATGAGTCCTCAAAGAGGGGACCACTCTGTAGGCCAGGTTCAAAGCGAACACAACAAGCACCAACTTACCTCAACCTGTTTGTTTTTACTTGCGTTCGTTGACATAGAGCCATACCAACCATTTTCCAGTTGTGCTCTAGTTTGCGCCACACCCATTTCAGCAAACACCTCCCTCGGAGCCTTTGCCAGGAGCGTGGAGCAGTCGTCACAGTTCAGCATCAAGTTGCCGTAGGACTTCCGACCCTGCGAAGTACATGGGTTGCCGCCATAGGACGACCTACAACACGGTGGCAACCAGTAGGTTTACCGGGGCTTATGTCTAACCAAACTAGCCAACAAGGATTCCTCAGGATACCTATGGTGCTTTGATGTTACTTGAAACCAACCCTAAAAAGGGTACCCTCAAAGCCCACATGAGAATTGAACGTGGACGCCCGCCCCTCGGCTAAACATCCAAGATTTCAGGGTCAGTGAGGATGGTGAACAGCACGTGAGAACCACGTAAAGAATTAAAGAGGCGGATATCCGCACCCATTTCTGGCAAGGGGACTATCCCCTCCCAACCTTCATCTACCCGAATCGGTTTTGAGCAAGTGGCTCAAACGGCAAATGCGCTGGCATGTCCGGCAATTTGTCCGGCCCAGTGGCCAGCTGCGAAACCTTCCATCCGACCCCAAGGCTTTCTCAAAGAGGTTGATTGGTTCCTCGCTTCCCATCGAGTGGATTGGCCAAAAAACGTCTTCCAAACTTTTCATTTCCCACTAAAATGGTCCAAGCCCAAAAACTGACTAAAGTCCGAAACGGAACTCGGGAAGTGAGGTCCTGATCAAGGGATGACTGCTTCCAATTTCTTTTGCCCAAACCAATTGGCATACCTGCTCAAGGGGAACCACGGAAAGTGTATAACGAAGGGACTCCCGTGGTGCACCGGGACTTCTCCCTATGCAACTTTACCCCAGCCTGTCGACTAAATCTGGGTGCGTGTATTTGTGAGTGCCCACTTCAACTTGATCTAGCGTAAGCAAACGGGATCTGTCTATCCAAGATGCGGAACCTTCTTGAGCGAGACAACCAACTCAGCTAGCCCCTTGGTGGTTTGCCTTTGTGGGATTCAAAGCCTTGGCTCTTGTAGCTCGTGAATTCCCCCACTCCATCGATTCGGCTCTCGCTTTCTGGGAACCTGACCAAAGGCCACGCCGAGTCAATTGCTGCTGAGTCCCCATAAAATGGAACCGTACATGGAGATCTCCAGAAAAATCCAAGTCCCCTGCCCACTTCCATAGGTACCCAAAATGGAACCTGGGTAGATTTTGAACCAGGGACTCAAACTGCGGTCTGGTGGTTTAATTTTGACCCATACCCATTTAAGGGGCTGGGGATAGAAAACCTTCGGCCTCAAAGAGATCCTTGTACCGCTTCTCCAGCTGCCTCACCTAAGACTGGCCAAGCTGGGTCTCTCTCACCTAAGACTGGCCAAAGCTTCAGGAAATGTCCTACAGGAAAAATCCGGTTTTCGGTGGGAATTGTCTACATTCTTGTGCTTGGTGGGGGTAGTTGGCCAATGTCCGGAAGACATTCCGGTAGCGGTGTCTATGACGAACCAAGCTCGGTATCTTGCAGGTGGCTCTCGAATAAACAGAAAAGGACACACACACACACACATATTCAGAACAGCCCACAAACCTACGCCTGGCACTCACCGGGCCTCAATACCCTCAAACTTATTAACAAGCAAAACGAGAACGTTAAGCTTCATCCCATCAAACCTACTGTACTCAACCTGAAACTGTACTTAATGAGGCAATGGCGAGTAAGCTACAGCCTTTCGGCTTTGCATTGGTATGTGAGTCTGCCCGAAAGACATTTTTGGTGCATGCCCCTCGAGGGGGTTGGGTTGGGTGATGCCTTTGCCTGGGCAGAATCTGGGTGAATGTAGCTTTTGCACTCCTAGGGTCTGGAAGGACATGCGGATCAGCCATTCATGGCAACTCATTTCCTCAGCGGTCCACCAGCACCATGGCTTTGGGGATGCCTTTGAGGGCCGTTTGTTTTTGTTTTTGAGCCAAACCAAAACAGGGGCAAAAGGTCATGCCACAACTGCCTTTGTGTGCGCCACGGGAACTTGGTGCCAACCTTCACACCGCGGGGTTTCGGGGGCGAGCCTTCTCCGGTAGCTCCGCTGCAAGGTCCCGCTCTTCAGTGGGATCTGTCCTGCGCGCTTCTCGGTGCTCATAGACGTGCATCCCGACTTCACAGTGAAATGACTGCAATGATCCTATCCAAAGTGATTCCCTTGGGCAAGAAGCTCCCGGTAAGTGGGGACTGCGAGAATCAACACATTCCTTACCCCGTTTTGTGGGTGCTGTTGACCCTGCAGAAAGTGTAACTTTACGTGGGTCCAATGGAAAATCAGCTAAAGTCCAAAGATCCAACCAATGATCCCATTTATGTCTTTGGCTTCCTTTTGGAGAATCTAACGATGAGCTGCGGCGACGGCATGCGGCTTTACCTGCAAGGGACCGTTGTTTGCCGTGAGCCAAACCTCGACTGGCCTTGGTACCGATGTTTGGGACCTGGTCATTACTCCAACAACCTTTCAAACACAAAGCTGCACAAGTTGCAGGCGCTCCACATACGCCAAACTCCTTCAACGACACACACACACACACAGACAATGAGCACCTGCCCGAGATTTCTTGAGCGGCACTACGCCAAACACCTCATTGCTTCCTTGTCTATTTGCATGCTTGGAAGTTGCCAGTCTCTCAGCTGTTCGGCAAATGATCTCAGGCCGCAGAAACACCAGACTCACGTGACAGGCTTCCGTCCAACTGACCAGCATCACGGGATCCAGTCGCCAGTCACGCCCCTTGGGCCTGTATTGGTGTGCAGACAACGGGACTCGATTGAACAATCATGCAAGCACAACATCTTGATAATCTCAACGAACATGGAAGTTTATATGCCAGCATTTTTGGAGATGTTAGAGAGCACTTGAGACTTTCCAGTGAATGACCCAAATATTTCGCTAACATGCCAGTTGGTGAGCGTCCCTCCTTGTATTGCAGTTCTCCCGCATAAAAAAAATGACAACAACAACAACATAATCTAAAATAACTACATGGACATGCACAGCGCATTTGCCCGACAACTCTTTTTGCCCCACCGAGCCATCTCTGCGTGTTCATGACCTAATGTGCCTGAGACTGACGACACACATTGTCCGCGACAAGTATCAAAGTGGAATAGCCGTCGCGTTTGCCTTGATCCCGGAAACCGGCTTAAAGGGACGTGCGCAGAGTGTCGGATGGGACCCAATTGGGCATTCCAGGTAGTCCCTGCAATCCCCGATTTGTGCAACTTCCTTGTTGGATAAACCAGTACAACCCCAGAAGTGTGTACAGTAACTATTTTCCGTGGAAGTGCACAGGCCAAGCACAACACGCAGCGCACAAGCAATCATCCTGATAGTTTAAAAGTGAGTGGGACTAAACAGGGAACCCTGTGCATTGAGCCACTAACGATGTGTAAACACCGAGAAAACAGCGGATGCACATGCCGGCTGCAAAGCAAGGGAACTGAAAGGCTACGGCTCAGGGTGGATGCGAAGATTTCTGAGACAAGCTGTTTTCAAAGGATGCTTCCTACTTTCAGGGGAGAAACCGTCCGCAAAAAAAGGCAGTCCTGATGTTGAACAACTTCCACTGAACCGGCGGTGTCCATCCCGAACCAGGTAAAGCCGCATCGTACAGTGACCTCAGCGTGTGGAGGGCGGAATCCAACGAAGTTTGGGAACGGCACCAAGAACCTGTCCCACTTTCACTCCTCACCTGTCGACTTTTACGTCACCGCGAGCATGAAGGTTGCAGACAAAAACAAACAAAACCATCCGGTCTGCGGGATTTGGCAACAAAGCTCTAAGCCGCGGACAGGTACTCTTGGTTCTCTACGTCCCGCACGGGCCATCCTTGGAGGCTTTGTCATGGTGCAACAAGAGCCCCAAGGCGTCCAGGGCGACTTAGCCGCCGGACTCCGGGTTGTTGTATATATATATATATATGTTTCTTTTTGCAGCCAGCACAAAGAATCAGTGGGCACTTTAGGATTTGACAAAAAGGGGAGGTGCCCTTGTCTCCTTCACTAGCTGGCTTGCAACCAATAAGAACCAAATCAAGCTGTCAGACTCATTTTTGTGAAAAGCTCATGCACAAAGTGCGCTAGAAAACGTCTGGGCCACCCCTGAAAGATGGGGGAGTCGTAGTGCCGCAGAAACTTGCTGCCAAGGCGCGGATGCCCTGGTTCTCGCCAAGCGGGCTCTTGCCTGGTACTTAGAGAAAGCGCAACTTGGAAGTTGGTTTTGGGTTGGGTTGGGGGCAAAAAGACACCAAGTCTTTTCCTTTTTTGGTGTGCTTCGGAAAGTGCTGACAAGTTGTGGCCTATGCAGCGCCCAGCAAGGTCAATCTCCCATGGCAATAGCTGTCCACCTCGAAAAGCTTGGCAACAAAAAGCGCCCTTGGCACGCCCGGGTCCTTGCAGGTGTCAAACAGTGCCCTTCTATATGGCGTGCCGGCTTCCATTTTGAGATGGCAACGTAAGATCAGCTCACTTCCTGGGATGGACGAAACAAAGTCCAAACTTCTTGAGTGCCACTAACATGGTCTTCCCAAAAAGTGTAAAGTTCATGAACTCCGGAACCGCTGGGTCATACCAATCAGAAATAAGACGCCTCCTAAATGGGTTTGTCGAGTGAGGGACCGCGGCAACACGTTCGGCTTCTCTTTGGTTTTTGCTTTGAGCACGCCCAAAGGTGCCCTCAAAAGCACCCAAAGCGCCAGGTCATCCACCCCTCTCGGAAGGATATTTCGTGTTTAAAGGCTCCCACGCTCGGAGCGCGCCTTCCGATGTCCATACCAACTTGTAATCCCCCGAGCCTCAGGGCTGGCGGGTCGGGGCAGGCCGGGAGAGAAACTGGATTGAACACAAATGCGTGTCTAGCTCGTGAATCATCCGGTTGCAAAACTCATCCCGAATTTAAGTTTCAGCGACTGCAGGCAACTTGCATATAGGATATGGTGCACGGTTTGAAGGCGGTCTATGAAGCTGGTAATCCACTACGGGAAGGCGCAAGCCAAAAGAGGGTGACTTTTGGATGGAGGACAGGATCCGAGAATCGTCACCTGCCACCATCCGGCCGGGCCATTATTTTTTCTCGAGGAATGCCGGCCCAAAGGGTGCTCCTGCGGCCCGGGCGGATAGCTCTGCCCGAGATGTTGGAGATGAATTCCTGCAACATGTCGCCTTGACCCTTGCGATTCGAATGTGATCCACGATGGCCATTTTCTAAACCCACAAATGTATGTGACAGGCTGTGCCGGGCACACTAGAATTGTATCAGTTGAGTTGGAGTTCCAGGGTAGTGGACGCTGAGCAGACAAACAAGCAGGACACGCAGAAACATAAGCAAGCAAGCAAGCAAGCAAGGAAGCAAGCAAGGAAGCAAGCAAAGGAAGCAAACAAGGAAGCAAGCAAGGAAGCAAGCAAGGAAGCAAGCAAGGAAGCAAACAAGGAAGCAAGCAAGGAAGCAAGCAAGGAAGCAGGCAAGGAAGCAAGCAAGGAAGCAAACAAGGAAGCAAGCAAGGAAGCAAGCAAGGAAGCAAACAAGGAAGCAAGCAAGGAAGCAAGCAAGGAAGCAGGCAAGGAAGCAAGCAAGGAAGCAAGCAAGGAAGCAAGCAAGGAAGCAAGCAAGGAAGCAAGGAAGCAAGGAAGCAAGGAAGCAAGGAAGCAAGGAAGCAAGGAAGCAAGGAAGCAAGGAAGCAAGCAAGCAAGCAAGCAAGCAAGCAAGCAAGCAAGCAAGCAAGCAAGCAAGCAAGCAAGCAAGCAAGCAAGCAAGCAAGCAAGCAAGCACGGAATCAATCAAGAAAGCAAGCAGGTCAGCCAGGCAACCAGGCAACCAGGCAACCAGCCAGAGCCAGCCAGGCAAACAAGCACAAAACAAACCAACAAAACAACTTCTTTCAGAACAAACTAAAGGTCTAGCATGTAGCATGGACCAATGAGGGGACATCTCTGCCTGAGTGGATGTCCCAAGAAAGTAACCACACTTTTTGCTTACCACTACAACGGTCTCCCAAATAAGTTTAAAGTCCAGGAACTCAGGAAGTGAGACTCTTCATCCGCAGCAAAAAACAACCAACTACCACGTGATGCACATCGGTCCGTTCTCGGGGATGGCGCGTCTTGTACCAGCGCCCGCCACAGGCCGATCCCGTCCACGTCATTGGGCACCTCCCGACCTGAAACGGTCTGCATGCAGCCTACCTGAAATGGGTATGGGTCAAAATTAAGCTACCAGGGGACCACAGGCTAAATCGTCCTTGTTTCCATTTACCAGGGTGCCATTTTGGGTACCTATTTTTGACCCACAGCCAAATGCTGGCTTTGCCACTGTGCTGCTTTCAAACCGCCCCAACAAGGGATGCACGAAGCAGCCATCCCTGAAAGCTGCTGTGAAAACCAGCTATGCATCTTTGGGTTCTTTACACTCACACGAGCTTGAGCTTGTTGGCTTCCACTTCTTCCCGAGTACCGACGAGTCCCCCCCAAGAACGGGTCATGGCAATTTTGGGGTGCATCTCCTTTCTTGGAGTTGGTCCTCCTTTTTTGTTGTTGAGAGAGAACCGAAAGGAAGAAAGAAGGCCGAAGCCATTTTGGGGGGGTCCAACCTTAAAAAGAACTGACCCACTTTTGTCTTTTTCCTTTTTTTAGGCTTGGACAGATCGCGACTCTCCGAACCACTTGGTTTCCCAATTTGCGCGAAACATGCGGAGTGCCCCTTGGTTGGGTGTGCTTCTTTGAGCTGATACCCTTTTCACCTTGGCTTAAAGGGATATATATTTCAGAAGGACACCGGACCTCATTCTGTGGGTTGTTCCCATTTTGACACCACACCCAGCGCCCAGCGCGGCTTTTGCCAGAACTCGGACTGAGGCCAGCACTGGTCGGGCTGGAGTGTGCCAGCTGAAGGAGGGTCGCGTGCCAATCCACCAAGTGCATGAAGCCACCCGTGTACCTCGTCTTTCTTTTTCTCGCTGTCGACGAGAAGAATGATGCGCGTTTGCCATCCAAGGGCGTGGCTCTTTGAGGGAATCACAATTGAAATAGACTGATGAAAACACAACAAACAATCCCGAGAAGCTAATGACAACAGTATTTGAACTTGACATATGATTTGATGGGTCCGGTGTTTCATCCATGCTTGTGCATCTAAGCACCCTGCGTTTTGCCCTTGGTAGCAGCCGCATCCAATTCTGGATGGGTGCCAGTGAGCAGCGCCTTGGTCCTCGCATCAGCACATTCAACATGGGTGTCAAGGCAACCATGCCGTCGATCGCTGTGTCAAGATTCAAAAACAAAAAAATGACAGGGCAAAGATCGCGTCATGAGTGGCGGTCGATCTACTTTAGGCCTGCTTGGCAGTCTGATTTGTTTGGCACTTCCCCTCCCAGTCCGAGTTGTTTTGCGCCATGGGAAGATTGGCTTGTCTTGTTTGTTGCCGGGTCTTGCTATTGATCTTCGGGGCAAAATCATTGAGCTTGCCGCGAAGACAGACTGACCTTTCTGCCGGACTTTCGCGTCGACCGCCATATGGCTTTGTCTCATAGGATCCCCAAGCTTTCTCTTTCCCTTAACCCCGTTTCATAGGATCCCCAGTTGGTCAGCTCCCTCTTCCCCCTAATCCCGTTTCAGGTATCTTTCGTTGGGCCTAAGCCAAACGCCGTCGACTTACGCCCAGCTTAGCCGGGATTTTTTCACCAGATCCCGTCCTCATTGCACCTTCCCACACTTCGCCTGCCGTGCTCTGACTGGCTTCCGGTTCGCTGTTTAGAAACACATGCAACTCATCGCGACCTTCACACAAACCTTCGCATGTTAGAAAACAACCAAAGAGGCAAGCAACTATAATAGTGCTGCATGGCCGGATGCATCGAATACATGGCTTCGGAAGCACGGGCCCCACATGCCAACACACACACGCTGGGCATCAAAACATGGCACACTTGGCAAATTTGACTCTCCTGCATTTGGACGTGAGCAAGCTGAAGATCCGTCTGCAGGATCAAGCTGCGCTGATTCTGCTACCCTCCCAGAGGCCAGCCAGCACAAACGGGACCGGTGGCAAACCCGGTGGGAGCCTCTTTGGACCGGACCTGTCTTCAACATTTCCAGCACCTTCTCTCGGATCGTCCTACCAGAAATCCTATTTCAGGACAAACCCGAAGTCTCACTTCCTGCGTGGATGGGCCAAACAAAGCCAGCACTGCTTACCTCCCAAATGGCCCAAGCCTCCAACATTCAAAGCCCAGCAACTCGGCCCGAACCCCCGGTGATGCTCGCCGCCTTTGCTGCCGCGCAGCGGCCAGTTGCTGGCGCCGGAGCGCTTGTGCGCCGCTGAGCCTGCCGACTGGCAGGGGTCACCGTCCGGGGAAAAAACAAACAAACAAACCAACAAACAAACAACAAACCAACCAACAAACAAGCAAGTCAGCAAGCAAACAAACAAACAACAAAACAATCAGGACACTTTTGGAGGTAGGCAACTGACGCCTATCTTTGATGACCCGCCCTTCTTGGGGTTTCAATACCAGACCGAAACTGAAGCTTGCTTGGGGGTTGTCACTTTCGAGACACACGCAGAGTCGCATGCTCAAGTGTTCATCTCCAAAGTCTGACCCCAAATGCCTCGAGCTTGCAAACAACAACCAAGCCTCAGATCACTTTCATTTGGGCGTGTCTTTTTTGGGCGACCCTCTTCAAGATGGATTCTCCTCTTGCATTTCCCACGAAAAAAACACGGGGGCCATTCCCGACTCTCAAAAACCATCCGCGTCGGGGCTCCGCCCATTCGAGGCCGCAGGCCAGGCTCCGAAAGTCCCATGCGCCTCCGCCGTCACTTGCCACGACCATGATCCAATTGTCCCCAGGGAAGGCTCCTGACGCTCGCTGGCGTCACGAGTCCACGAATCCGCGAACATCACTTCACTTAAAGGGGCGATCGGGTAGTTACCCAGCAAGTGGCTAGTAGGTTACAACCCACGAAAGCCATGGTTATAAGTTTCCCTGCAGTGGGTTGTAACCAGGCTTACCAACCACTGCTCAGGGGTTGGTGTATACTATAATTGCAGCTAATCAGGGGTTGGTCTATACTTTAATTGCTGTTCACCAACCACCATTAAGGAAAACCTAAGGAACATTCATCGTGGATGAGCTCGCTTTAGCGCGGTCCAGTGTTGTCTCGATATGATAAGTGAAAACTCATCCTGGGAAACCCCCTTACGCTATCTCCACTGCCCTGCAGGCAAAAAAAAACACAAGGCTGTGGGAAATAACCACTTCTGTGACACAGAGAGATGGCTTCCCAAAGGGGGGAGATTCCCTTGTATGTATTGCAGTGTTTGGATTTGCACTCCGAGTGATCAACCACAACCCCCATGTCAGCGGGTTTCCTTTGCCCCGTTTGCCCCCGTTCGCCCCAATGGGTGTCCTGCCATGGTGCTGGCGATGCCTTCAATGCTCCGGTCCAAGGCTGTGGCCTTACTCTCAGCTTGAGAGATCACATCCATGTGGCTCGCTTCGGAGCCCCTTAAGTGGTGGTGATCCTTTTGGTTTCCATTTAAAACACCACCAAAAAGGCTACCCTCAACTCGAAGACACACACACACGAGCCACCCATGTGGGATTCTTCTGGGTTGCCGCCCTGGAATGGCTTCCGCATCTGAGGTCTGCCGTCTTCCAGTGGCCATTCCTTCAGCAAATTGGCGACCTGTCACTTGTCCAAAGGACCAGAGAAATAGAAAGGTGAGATCGCCTTTTTTAGGGCCATAAAAAGTGGACCGACATCGGAAAACTCCAGCAGGTTTCAAAAGGTCGATTCGCGATTGGGGCAAGTGAGTGGTCGCTCGAATCTTTGCGCCAGCTGCAAGGCATGGAGACATGGCAGTGGCTCAAAAAAACCGGAATTCCAAAATGGGTTGCCCTGGTGAGTGGAAAGATGGACTTCAAGACCTGCAGTTTGCCCCTCCGATCGTTTAACTTTGAGCCACACCCACATTGACTGATTCAAGCGCAGCGAGAAAACACTTCCCTCCGGGTAGCCCAACCATTCGGCACAAGGTCTGACCTCAGCTCAAAGACAGCTTTGGCCAGGTGCTGGTTGCGGTCACCAACCCCAGTGCATATCTCATTCAAGCTATCTGCGGTTCGTACAATTCTGAAGAGCCTTGAGCATTTGCACTAATCTTGGCTATTCGTGCAAATCACAAGAGCAGTACACGAAACACTCGCACAACTTTGGTAGTTCGACAAACAAGCCGCCTTTGACGGAACATAGCTCTGCAACTCCTTTCATGCCATGAATCTGGTCACTCAGTATATCCGCACCCCCCCTCCCCCACTAATTTTTCCATTTTGCCATGGGTCAAAATCCCGTACCCGTGAACATCCCAATCCCCACTAAAATTGGTTCTAAAATGGGTGGTGCAGCTACCACAATGGGATCCCATTGGTTTTGACCCACGGCCATTTACTTGCCCTTCCTTTCTTTAAAGTGCACTCTGCGCAAAATACCTCAGGGCCACACGGTAAGCGTTGGCGGCCGAGCTGAAGCCTAAGCCGGGAGACATGTCCAGGTTCTCCAGGTGGATTCTCTATGTCATATAACCTGATGATGCTGGCTACTCCTTTATAGTCACTTCAAGTATTGGATAGGGTGATAGGCAGTTGCTTTCCTTAATAATAAGTTTAGCCTATTTAGGAGCATACCTGTTTCAAATAGCCATGGGGACCCT